AAAACAGATTTCAGTACTTCAATAGGTTGGTATATTTACATTATATCAGTTAATGAAATTACGGTATTTAACTGTAAATTTAAGTTAAAACTGTAAAACCTAAAACGTTGCTACCGTATTTTTTATGGTAAAATTCCGGCAACCACAGCTGCCGTTTTTCTACCGTAAATTTTACGGATTTTTTTTTTACAGTGTAGAGTTTCCACATGTTATGGCCACTGGGAATACATCTCTTAGTCTCAGATGTTCAGGCTTTCAGACCACAGTTATGCATTGGAAATTTTGAACTGCGAGAGACTACCAAGATCTCAATTCTGACACATGCGTTCTCTCATTTGTCTCCACAAAGTTGAGATATATATTTTTTTTTACTCCATTCATGACTTCTGCTTAATTTTAACCTTTTTTTTTTTTTGAGTATCAAACAATGTTCTAGAAGCTGGTGGAAGGCCTTTTGGCCTTCCTGTCTACAGCATTATTTGCAATTCCATTTTCCAGACTGGGATTTGAATTAGCCGTCATCAGGATCTGGAAATGTGAATCTCTTCAGTTTCCAAATTTAGTTTTTCATTATTCTCCATTATGCCATGGTTTTTGATAAATGTTCCACCACTCCATCATTCTCTGTGTTCATTTCATTTAGTCTTTTCACAGCGACTCCCTCCCTGTCCCATTATTACTCTTCCTGTTTGTGGCTTAGACTTACAGATTTGAGAGAAACTGCAAGAGAAGTATTTTAATTAACTTACAGGGTTAGATCACTCGCACATGTTTGCTGATTTCAATACTGATGCACTTTGAAGCTTAATAATCACCCAAAAGTGTAAAAGTATTTTCTCATGCATCATATTCCAAGTCCTCTGAAGGCATATCACAACCTTAAATTTTTTTTACTTATTGCCCAATTAGTATCAAAAACAGGACTTCTATTTTGATACGGCAGAAAAGGCCCACGATCAACTCACACAAGCTCAGGTTGTTTGAACCATAAATAGGACACTTACTCTTAAATGTTTAATGACATGAACTGTTATTATCATACAGGGCAGCAAAGCAAAGGCCTAAGCAAAGTCAAGACCTGAGGCCTCACAAGGCCCACCCTAACATTACCTTTGTAACATTTTACTTCCAATTACACAGCATTAATATTAAATAGAGTTTAGTAAACATTTGCATAATTTGCATGGCGGTTAACACCAATGCTGCCTGGCATTGTATTACGTGTATAAAGGTAAAAAAAAGCTCTTTCTTGCTGGTTTATCTGATATTTAACATACTCTGATTGTATCATTGCCTTGATCGTCAAAGGTCTTCTGCCCCACCCTATTTATAATATAATATTGTGTGTAATCTGAGCTGTTCTACTGTAGTCTCATTAAAAGGGCACAAAAGCACCAAATACTTCTGAAGCAAACTAACCCTGATCTCGAGCAACTGGTTGTGTTCACAGAGTTTATTATGACTGCGTACACTAGGACACCTGACCTCTACTCAAACAGCGACTTGACACTGCATTTTAAATACAGAGACAGTAATAGAGTCGGTCCCTCTTAGCAGCTATAACAGCTTCCACTCATCTGGGAAGGCTTTTCACAAGATTTTTGAGTATTTCTGTGGGGTTTAGAGCATCAGTTCCAGTTCATCCCAAAGGTGTTGGATAATGTTGAGTTCAGGGCTCTGTGTTCTTCCGCACCAAACTCATCCTACCTTGTCTTTATGGACCTTTCTTTTGTACACTGGGACACAGTCACGCTGGAATAGAAAAGGGGCTTCACAGAACAGGTTTCCACCGCTCCAGAGTCCAGTATCTGCGGATGTGAGGCTTGCATGCAGCTGCTCAGCCATGGAAACCCATTTCATGAAGCTCCTGCCGCACAGTCATCCAATCACAGTACCACACTTGAATTTACTGAGCTCCTCAGAACAACCCTTTTTTTCACAGATGTGTAGACTGCATGGCCAGGTGCTAGATTTTATACACCTGGGATAATGGGTCTGATTGAAACAGCTGATTTCAGTAATTAACAGGTGTGTCCCAACACTTTTTCCATATAGTGTATGTACAGTGTTTTACCTTAGTTTTTGGATCTGTTTGTATCCATATAATATCTATTGTTTCTAAACTATTTACCGGGTAAGCTGCTCTCTGGACTACCCTGCTTCAGGTTACAGACATGACGTAAACATACACAGAAGCAGATTCCTGTGAAATCCGTCCAGACGTTTCTAAAATATAAATAATCATTATAGGCTCCTAGTGCATCTATCTGGAATACAGATTTCTAATCTACTTTACTGCTGAGCCAGTAAAAGATTGAATTTGATGTCATGTCAACTAGTGATCACTTGAGGTATTAGTCCCACGTTGGAAATTTTAAGGCAGGTTAATTAAGTTTGCCAGTATAATGTTCTTTAAAGGTTAGATTTTTGTGAATATTTTGAGCAAAATATGTTTTGCTCATATTTACCAAGGATGCCAATGTTAGAATTTTTAAGATTAAAATAGCTAGGAAACTATAAGAAAATAATAATGCATAGGCTATTAGCATGATAAATAATTTTCATTAAGTATTAGATACTCCTTGAGAAAAGCAGCAAAGACATCCATGTGTACCTCAGCCAAAGCAAAATCTTTAGTCCTCACACAGTGTAATTAAAAAGGGCTCTAAATCCCAATATAACTGAACATTACCGTAATTACTATCAAGCCTCCCTTTTTTCTTAAAGTGCCCCTTATGGATTTGTGAAAATGACCTTTCATGCAGTGTGTAACACAGCTCTAAGTGAATGAAAACATCCTGCAAAGTTTTAAATCTGAAAGTGCATTGTGTATAAAGTTATTGTCTCTCAAAAGAAAGAGTCGACTCTGAATCATTGAAACAGGTATTTTTTAAAACGAATCCCAAGCCCTTTCATGTTGAAGTCAACATGAAACATTAGCATGTTGCCCGCCCACTTGTTGGTCTTTTCGCTTTGGTCTGGATGAAAATGCAAATTCATTCTTTGCCACTAGGTGCCGCTTTTGGAGCGGTAAAAATAGCGGTTTCCCCGGTAACGCTGTACACAAAGCAGCACTGCGCTCACAAACGCTGCTTTATCAGGCATCACAGGCGAGATGAAATGAAAATTAGACCAATCGGACCAATCACCGCAGATTAGCATCACGCAAAGGAGGGGTTTGGAAAAATGAATCGTTGAGCGAATGGTTTGGGAGTCCTTAAGCAAATAAGGTAAAAATATATGCATATTATAAGACAATGAAAGTGTTATTTTTTTTTCTTGCATGCATGTCAACCTGTTGTTGGGTACTCCCAAAACCAAAGTATGAACCTTTCATAACCTATAATAGGGGCACTTTAACTTGCTCAAAACCATATTTCAACATTTTCACTTTCCTCATCAAGTCCTATGGAAACTACAATACTTGATTTGGTTCACATTTGCCCTACTTAATTTAATCTAGTAGACTGCACATTTTAGAGAATTGCATTAATTAAAAGCAAAGAAATTACAAGAGAAACACAATTTTGTTGCGTAGATGATAAACTATATGATTGAGTAAACTGGATCTGTGTTTTGCAGTTGTTTTCAGTGAAAGCAGGACCAACAGCTTGTCTTTATTAGCATTTTATCAGCACCAGACACACCAAACAACAACAAAAAGGATTACTTCCTTCTCTGTAACATGGTTGCATGATGGCATATAGGCATTGCTTAGACATCATACCAGATCATGCACATAAAAATATATTTCCATTGTAAATAAATATATATATATATTTGAATATATGAAATTTCCACCCCATTGCTGTTATTGCAGCAACTATTATTTATGTTTGTAACCAGCAGAGGGCTCTGGGGCCCCAAGTATTCGCCTAATGAATACTACCGCCACTTTATACAATAGCCTACAGTACAGCCTACTCAATATTCTATAAGAATATGTTGGGTTGAGCAGGAGCTAATGATTGACAGCAGATCACGTGCTAGAGTTTCTCTCTCGTGTCATTCGGCGTGATGATGATGATGATGATGATGATGATGGTGATGATGTGGAGTCTGAGGCTCACACGCATGAATCAGAGATAGAAGTGATTGAGTTGTTTCCAGGAGGGATGTGTGATTCTGTCTTCACCTTTGCTCTGAACTTTTGTTCTCGGTGGAAACGAAGTCAGTCCGGATGTTTAAAGACTCGTGGGAACTTCTTCTGCGTCTGGAATATTTCCTTAATTACAATAGAAGGACGCGATTCTGGATTCACGAAGCAGGATTGACCGAAGGTAGAACTCGCAGCGCAAAATGTGCGAAAAAAGCGGCAACCACTTTGGAAAAGACGTTCTTCAGAGAGAGCAGACAAAAACCACAGATGCAAACTTTGATCACGTTGAAATCTCCGAATGCAGAGACACGAACACTGTATGTAACACCGCCAAAGTCCATTTTTGCGTATCAATAGCACGAGTTTTCGTTTTTATTTGGCGTACTATTTATGCGCATTTTCATGAGACCGGGCTCAAACAACTAGAGAGCAAAGGTCGATGCAGTAAAGGGTTTTGTTCATAGAAATGGCAGCGTGAATAAAATTTCAACAAGTTGTGGAAATAAGCAGGATGCAAATTGGGTTAATTGGCGGGTTAAAAACGAAACATTGTATATTCAGTAGTTATACGTTTCATCAGCGTTTTCAAGCAGCATTCAAGAAACCAGAAAGTTAGATTACACGTTTGTACAAGTTTTACTCTCACACTAAATAGATACTGACGTAGGCCTAGCCTATCGCGTAACCACAACAACAGCGCCTGCTTTCCCGTTCCTTATCGGAGACAAACATTAGTTAGCGACTGTCACTTTATTGCGCATTTATATATAGGCCTAGCATATAGCAAAACGTTTTCTTTTGTATTAAATAGCTGAATTTGGCCGTGCCCCATATAAATTCATTCAATAATCATTATGAGTCTACTTGGGCGCCAAATTATAGCAGGCCCTATATAGCAAACCTGTGAACATCAAAACAGTTTTTCATGGCTTTATGAAACTATCACATTATATATGATTGCTTGACCATAAATGACAGTAGGCTACGAAGTAGCTGCATTATAGCTTGAGCTGTGAGGTATCTCTGTATAATAACACAGATATACACATAGCTGGCTATTAAGAGGCTGTGATCTGGGTCTGCATTAAAGGAAATGGAGATGTTTAGGTGTGTTTAATGCAAATGACTAACCTTGGGCATGCAGTCGCAGATTTAGAATCCTCCAAATTCATTAATGTGCGAACAATGTGCATATGCATGTGTTGTGACTTGGTTAGAAAAGTTGTGAAAAGTTCTCCTGTGCATGTAAATTCAAAACTATTCAGGCAGACTGTTAAAATGACCCGTGCTGTTTATCCTGGAAGATGCACAAAACCAGACAATCACTTTTTTTTCAGTTTCATATGATTTTTAGGTCAGTGAGACTGAGATTATGGTGCAGTTGATTTTTTATGTCTTTCCCCTTCAGCTTGGCATTGCTATTGGTTTCTTGATCCCGCCGATACTTGTGCCCAACGTGGATGACATGAATGAACTGGCTCAACACATCAGCATCATGTTCTACATCACAGCCGCTGTGGCCAGCCTTATCTTTCTGCTGGTGGTGTTTGGTATGAACATCCACTCCAGCAGCATAAATGAAAAGCTAACAGGACTGATGTAGTGACAAGCGTTTTTAATCAGCATGTAAAATCTGTTAATAAAACCTACTCTGCTCTTTAACATAAAAATGTGAGTGCACCACAATACTTTATGGAATAGCTCTTTTAATTCATACACTCCTGCCATCAGCTTAATTATGGATGCCAAAACCTGCTTAAATACATACATACATGCATACATAGTATTTGACTGCTTCATCATTTATTCCTTAATTCTCTTGTTATTGCATTTACTTTTTTTTTTTTTTATTTCTGCAGGTTTGGTTCTCTCTATCTGTTGCTATAATTCTTAGATAATTTTGATCCGTTTTGAGATTTGCTTTTACAAAATCATTTGTGTCTACTGAAGTAGTGAAATATATGGAAATTGATTATATGATTTGGTTTTGACTTCTTGGAGGAAACACAAGCAGAACCAACTTCTGTGGAAATCATTCAATAAATCCAATTTGATATCTGAATGCAATAATTTACATAAGCGGTGTTTACAAGCACTTAACTGCTCATGTTTCATGAACAAGACTCAATGCTTTGCCCTATGATGATATCCTTGATTGCAATCTTTTTGAAACAGGGTCATGTTGATTGACATAATGTCCATTTCTGGTTTAATCAATTACTGTTTAGAGTTGTGTTTTTCAGTTTCTTTTGTGGTAATCAAGTTTTTGAACGTGCCATTCAGTTTTTCAGGAAAAGCCTGAAACCCCTCCGTCTCTGGCTCAGGTGGCGCTCAGAGACATGGCCACCACACAGTACTCGTACCTGGCTTCAATTGCAAGACTTTTCCGCAACAAGCCCTTCATCCTCCTCCTCATTAGCTACGGTACATACTGCTAATTCTTATTCATATACTTAATAACTTAAAGCACATTCTGCCTTTGCATGTTTAGCACAGTATTTCTGCAGTATTGTGCTATTATTATCTAATAGTAGTATCCTCAGTGTTAACTTATAATTTTCTTGTATTCATTTTCTTTGTTATTTAAAGTATGAGTCCAAGGTAGTGATAGTGTACATACAATGTAACTGACTAAAATAAAAAACAATGAACACATGCTCACTTAATGGCTCTGCTCCATTTAAATGAGTTGCCTTTATAGTCAGCATACTTAAACCCCCCATATAGGCTGAAGTGTCCTGTTCATGTATTTTAGCATTTTTAATTAATTTAACGTGCCCCTATTATGGATTTGTGAAAATTACCTTTCATGCAGTGTGTAACACAGCTCTAAGTGAATGAAAATATCCTGCAAAGTTTTAAATCTGAAAGTGCATCGTGTATTAAAGGGGTCATATGATGCGATTTCAATTTTTCCTTTCTCTTTGGAGTGTTACAAGCTCTTGGTGCATAAAGAAGATCTGTAAAGTTGCAAAGACTAAAGTCTCAAAACCAAAGAGATATTCTTTATAAAAGTTAAGAGTTAACCACGCCTACCTAAAACGGCTCGTTCTAACACGTGAAGCGGAGTCCAGCCCGGGGTCGCCACATGTGGTTGCCGCAAGCCCGCACGCCGCTCCTTCGTCAAATCCGCCGGCCACGCCGTTCTCAAGCCCGCCGGGCTCCGCTCACTCTAGAATATGCTAATGTTTCATGTTGACGTCAACATGAAACATTAGCATATTACCCACCCACTTGTTGGTCTTTTCGTGTTGGTCTGAATGAAAATGCAAATTAATTCTTTGCCACTAGGTGCAGCTTTTGGAGCGGTAAGAATATCGGTTTCCCCGGTAACGCTGTATACAAAGCAGCACTGCGCTCACAAACGCTGCTTTATCAGGCATCACAGGCGAGATGAAATGAAAATTAGCCCAATCAGACCAATCACCGCAGATTAGCATCACGCAAAGGAGGGGTTTGGAAAAATTAATCGTTGAGCGAATCGTTTGGGAGTCGTTAAGCAAATAAGGTAAAAATAAATGCGTATTATAAGACAATGAAAGTGTGTTTTGACCTTGCATGCATGTCAACCTGTTGTTGGGGACTCCCAAAACCAAAATACGAACCTTTCATAACCCATGATAGGGGCACTTTAAATAATTTTAAGTTAAGACATCTTTATTTATGTAGCACTTTATACTATACAGATTGTGTCAAAGCAACTTTACAGTGGTAAACAGGAAAATAATGTTTCAATAATGCAAACAAAATTCAATTGTAAAGCAGCTATAGAAAGAGGACAATAGTAAACAGTCAATTTTTAGGTTAAAGTCAGTTCATCATTGATGTCATCTTCCAGCTCACTTCAGTCCTCTTCCAATAGTGTCTGTGCATTCAAGTCCATAATATTGCCAAATAGTGTCCCCAACTAAGCAAGCCAAAGGCGACAGTGGCAAGGAACCCAGACTCCATCAGTGACAGAAATGGAGAAAAAAACTTATTTTATTATATTAACACATTTGAATACTGTTTTAAAAGGTAACTGCCTGTATAGAAGATAGAAAGCACAGCAGCTCACTTTGGACCAGAATACAGAGATAAATAAATAACTGTCGGTCAAACTACGTTTTTTGTTCCATTTACTTCCACTTACTTGATATTCACATCTTTTGTATCTAAATAATGTCAGGTATATCCCAAATTCCAAAATAAAGAACTATAACTCCTCTTCTGCTGCTTATACATGTGGTGTGCTGCAGGGTTCAGTCTTAGGCCCTGTTTTGTTATCCCTGTATTTGCCTCCATTAGCCATAAGCATTTTTCATACTTTTCACAAATGTTAGATTTCATATCATATCCAGCTTTATCTTCCCATAAAATCAGATATTGATATGAATATGAATATCAGATATGAATATGTCCCTCCAGTCTTTGTTTGACTGTTTTAGTGATGGCAGAAAATCCATCCAGCTTGTGTTTGGTTTAGGGTTATTTACTAGTTACCTATTATGCAAACTTTATTGTTTGCTGTTTAAAATAATAAGTACATGTAACATGTAACTCTGTCATGTTACAATAAAGGGCCTATTGGTGTGATGGTAAGAAAGAAAGAAGTTCAGATAAATGGTGTGGTGGCAAACCATTCAGTTTGACAGTTTAAACAAACAAAAATACATTAACTTCATTCTGACGGCACCCATTCACTGCAGAGGATCCATTGGTGAGCAAGTGATGTAATACTAAATTGCCAAATCTGTTCCGATGAAAAAACATTTTTGGAAATAAGAACCGTTCCATTAATAGGCTTCGGCATTCGTGGCCACATTACCACTTCAGGAGTGCATTATTTCTCTAATAATTTTAACGGCCGTCAGACGTTCAGATATTGAACTAGTTTTGCACGTCCACAGACGTCCAAAAGGGGTCTTAGTCAGACGTTCAGATATTGAACTAGTTTTGCACGTCCACAGACGTCCAAAAGGGGTCTTAGTCAGAGGTTCAGATATTGAACCAGTTTTGCACGTCCAGAAGACTTCCAAAAGTGGTTCTGAACTAACGGACGTTATACAGACATGATCTGAACGTCTCTCTGACGTCACATGTTTGCTGGGTCGTTTATACCGGAGGCGATGGCTCATTTTGTGTCTCTTTAGCTCTTATTCGCTGTGCAACGCGTTCCAGTGGATCCAGTACGGAATCATCAACAACATCTTCATGAAATTCTACAACGTCTCTTCATTCGCCATCGACTGGCTGTCAATGATCTATATGCTGACTTACATCCCCTTCATATTTCCAGTGACATGGCTGTTGGAGAGGAAGGGGCTGCGGGTGGTCGCTCTGTTCGCAGCCTCGATCAACTGCGTGGGAACGTGGATCAAAGTGGCCAGCGTTCAGCCCAACCTGTTCTGGGTCACGATGCTCGGACAGTTCGCCTGTTCCTTTGCGCAGGTGTTCATTTTGGGAATGCCGTCTCAGGTCGCGTCCGTGTGGTTCGGATCTGATGAAGTGTCCACCGCCTGCGCCATCGGCGTGTTTGGAAACCAGGTGCGTAAAAGCGCACGGAGCGCATCGCTGCACTGCCACAGAAACACAGAAAAACTGTCTGCCTTCTTTTAAGTTACATTAATCAGCTGGACTAGATTACACCAAAAGCTCAGGTTTTCCCCGAATATGTCTGCACACATAGACTGTGCGGTTCTTTTGCCATTTTAAGTGCATTTTGACGTTACGCATAGAAAGTGTCCCCAACTAAGCAAGCCAAAGGCGACAGTGGCAAGGAACCCAGACTCCATCAGTGACAGAAATGGAGAAAAAAACTTATTTTATTATATTAACACATTTGAATACTGTTTTAAAAGGTAACTGCCTGTATAGAAGATAGAAAGCACAGCAGCTCACTTTGGACCAGAATACAGAGATAAATAAATAACTGTCGGTCAAACTACGTTTTTTGTTCCATTTACTTCCACTTACTTGATATTCACATCTTTTGTATCTAAATAATGTCAGGTATATCCCAAATTCCAAAATAAAGAACTATAACTCCTCTTCTGCTGCTTATACATGTGGTGTGCTGCAGGGTTCAGTCTTAGGCCCTGTTTTGTTATCCCTGTATTTGCCTCCATTAGCCATAAGCATTTTTCATACTTTTCACAAATGTTAGATTTCATATCATATCCAGCTTTATCTTCCCATAAAATCAGATATTGATATGAATATGAATATCAGATATGAATATGTCCCTCCAGTCTTTGTTTGACTGTTTTAGTGATGGCAGAAAATCCATCCAGCTTGTGTTTGGTTTAGGGTTATTTACTAGTTACCTATTATGCAAACTTTATTGTTTGCTGTTTAAAATAATAAGTACATGTAACATGTAACTCTGTCATGTTACAATAAAGGGCCTATTGGTGTGATGGTAAGAAAGAAAGAAGTTCAGATAAATGGTGTGGTGGCAAACCATTCAGTTTGACAGTTTAAACAAACAAAAATACATTAACTTCATTCTGACGGCACCCATTCACTGCAGAGGATCCATTGGTGAGCAAGTGATGTAATACTAAATTGCCAAATCTGTTCCGATGAAAAAACATTTTTGGAAATAAGAACCGTTCCATTAATAGGCTTCGGCATTCGTGGCCACATTACCACTTCAGGAGTGCATTATTTCTCTAATAATTTTAACGGCCTGGAGTAACAACCACACCTCAAGACATTGTTCTGGCTGGACACTTTCTGCCTCTTTCAACGCTCTCAAACGACACTGTTTCAATGCTCTCAAGCAACACTGTTTCAACGCTCTCAAACGACACTGTTTCACCGCTCTCAAGATGTAAAATCAGGTATATACTGTCGGCTGCTGCAGGCCATCGATAGCCAGAGCAATACGCCAAAGACGCGGTGGATTTAATGCAAGGAGAACTTCAAGTGAACAATTAAGAATTACTTACCCTACAAATGGCCTTGGCAGTGGAGGTTATTGCGCTAAAAAATGAACTTCATTCTATCGAGCGGCTCATCGAGGATCTCCTCCAGCGGCAAACAGAGTTACGTTCCCGGTTAGCGTGTCTCGAGCCTGTGGGTAGCCAGCGGCCTTGGGCTTTGGCCTTGGATGCAGTCGATGTCCCTGGTCCGGCTTCACTCTGCTCTCCTTCCTGGGCATCTGTTGTCAAGGGCCGTAAAAGATTTTCCCTTCCTCTCTACGATTCGTCTGGTATTGGTGGTGATGACATGATGTCATTGACATCCCACTCACAAACTTTTTTTCTCCCTTAGCTGAGCTTCCTCAGGAGCCTGTACATGTGCGGCCGATCATCAGAAAGTGCCCTACTTTTTCTAGTTTAAATTCATTGGGTTCGCTATCTCCTACGCCAGGCCCTCCCGGGTGCAAACGTCCCCGTTTGTCACTCTGTCGATTGGAATCCGAAAATCAGCACCACAAG